ATCATTTTGAAACACTATAGAACTATTATTTGATAAAATGTGACCATATATCATTTTAATTATGTAGCAGTATAACTCGATAGACGATATCAAATGGCGACATTTTTAAAATAACGTTAAATTTTTGTTACTAGACAACAATTAGATATTTAGTTACTAGACACAATAAAAATTCGTTACATAATTCCTTATATAATTATTTTAGATTTATCAGATAACATCAGTTTTTATTGTAAATTTAAATCAAGTTGTATTTTTAACCTAAACGTATGCTTTCGTTTTTAAGTTTGAAATGTTACTCCTGAACAAATAAAATAACTTCAGAACTTAATAATTTGATTATATTCTTAAACCACTGATATATCTCAACAATTCATAATTCATAATAGCATCAGGAGCTTCTAACGTTGAAACCGTTACCCCGATGCTATTGGTTTATCCCAGGGTATTCCATGGCTTTTCCAGATTGATGACGTGACCGTAAATTATGACAGTAAAATCAGAAGGCACTTAAGGGCATGCGATGAATTATCCATAGATCTGTGATCATTTGGATTGATACTACCGCTGTTGCAATTACTAGTCTTCTGATCTGATAATGTAATCTATAAAACAGAAAGGCGTAGTCCCCGAGAGTATGTATTATCAACTATCAATACATTTGATTTTATAAAAACAGTCGAGGTCAAGGGTGTTAAAACTGTTGCTCGTTTGACTATATAACGTTCCAACTCCCTCAGGCAAAGGTGACCTTAGATGAATTTGGCTTTTCCTTTATGGTTACCTTTTGTAGTATAGTTCTCGTTTTTTCATTAACTCATCCATCCGCGTTCACACTTTTGAGTTTGAGCGTTCTTGATGGAAACTATTCAGACGATTCGGACACGCAAAATTAATAAAGTGTTTTTTTCATTTAATCATTTTATTTGATGAATTCTAATTTCAATATTTGACATCGAAATTTGGTGTTTTTTTATACTTCTTTTTACATTTTCATAAGTTGAAAAAAAAATCAGCTCACGAATTATAGATTTTATTTTAAGAAAAGGTTCACGAAATGCAAAATTTCACGAAATAATCGTCCACGACTAAACGCCAAACTGTTCAATTTCATACAATCAAAGGTTTAGTTGGAATGGTTGAAGTTTCAAGTTATTGATCATTGCGAAGTCTCAAAAGTAATAAAAGATTTTAGATTTTTTTTGGTACTTTTACATTTACTGGTATTTTACAAAAGTTATAATTTAGGCCTATTTTTTAAAACATTGGAACCAACGGTTAATGTGTTACATACTAAATTCAGGTAAAAATATACAAAATGATCGAAAACTTAGGAATTCTACTTAATAGAGTTTGTATAAGAAACGTAGTTGACATAAACAAAAATAATGACAGTTCCTGGAAATTATGTGTATTTTATTTTGAGCAACCAATATCTGGTCGCAAAAATGATATTTATATAGTTATATTCGATGCAAAACTAAGGTAACCTAGGTTGACACTAAAGTGAATGTTGTTTAGATAATAATAATTTGAAATAGTAATTATATCTTATGTGAAATTCGGTCATCAGGGAGTGACTACTACATGTATCATTGATTTATATTACTAGATAAAAGTTTAATTTCACAACATAAATGAAGACTATATCATGAATGCATCTCCTCAAATCCAATTTCCAATAAGCCAAACTATGAAAATGTCACTTGAGAGAAGACCAATTCAGGTTGCCAAGTCAATGGCTAAGGCATTAGACATTTTAGTTTCTATTTGATACTGAGTCGTCATATATGAAATGGATATGAAAATACGATTAGATAATGCTCTTGATGTCAATGGAACCCAATTAGAAAAGTTTGGATTAAGTATGGTTAATGGTGAGATAACAGTTTCATAGTATTTCTGAAGACCTTCTTTCACTGCGGACAGAATTTTTGTCAATCTAATGGACAATTCCTTTGTATAACATGCAGATGAGCTGGCAATGAACCGTTTTTGTACGGAATTCTGTGAAGTTTAGGTATCCAATACAAACCAGAAAATTCATCAGAATTGCTGTTCAATGTTTTGTTCATTGAAGCCATGCAAGACTTATGGTTCGCCAAAATCTCATCCTTGTCACATGTTAAACTGTTTTTGAATGTTGGATACCTGATTGCCTATTCATAGTAGTAAGATTTACACACAAAAACAATATTATTTGAAGCTTTGTCCGCAGGAACAACAACGTATTTATTGTGAAGAGATGATAGACATTTCACAGCTTCTTTTCTTTGAATACGGACTTTGGTCGATCAATCACACAGTTTTTCAACTTTTGGATTCGACGTTTTATCAGAGACCTGATTGCTTTAACCCATTCTAACAAAGTGTCGAGTTCAACTTCATTTCGTATAGCCCATGCTCTGGCGTAGTCTGCAATGGAATTTATAATTATTTTGAAGTTATGGTTTCAATTGATGCGTTGGGGTTCTTTGAACTTAGGACCATGATATATCACCTTTCGACGATGTTCATGTTGAATTATGTTTAGATCCCCAGTCATTACATAGCCAGAGGGGCTGTAAATATAAGGCAAGTGGGAACAGTCACATGTCAGAGGTTTTTTTTAAGGTTTTCTTCTAAATCAAGGTCTTGCAATGCTTTCTTATACTTGTTAAATACTTTAGGTGCAATGGTTTTGGTGTAACTGTAGGATACAAAAGGAACAAACTGATTTTGTTGATAGCATCGATTCCTTTATTAGAAAACTGAACTGGAAGGAATTTCCTATTTTCATCATGTAATGGTTCCGATCTTACTGGTTTAAAAAAACAAAAAAGAGCTACATCACAAATTATACTGACCAGTCTGTATATTGGAGAAAATGTATTTATGCATCCCTTGTCAAGTGCATAATCTCTTAAACATTTTCGGAGATTAACAGGCAATGTAAAAAGAATGGTTTTAATGTAATGTTACCCTAGCAGATTATGAGGATGTGAAGGAAGGTCATCAAAGCTCCTAGAGGGCGATCTAGACCATTTTACATTGGGCCGATGGTAATGTTTTTGCCCATGACTACGTTGGGGTCTTAAGTTAGTATTAAGTAGGCTCAATACATACACTTTGGATAGTTGTCTCATTGTCAATCATACCACATTTCCTTCTTTTATTATGTAGTTAATTCATATAATTGCAATTCTAACACTCTTATGTCTTCATTGAACATCAATATATATATATGACTTTCATACCATCTCATATATAATCGTCATAAATGACCTCTAAATCAGGAGGTTACATTTTCTCCTGAGAAAAACGTATTTAAAAAACATCATTATATAGACACTTGTTTTGTCAGAGACAGTAATATTTTGGGTCAACTAGAGTATACGGACATATATAGTTCCTTTTATTTTTAGATATACTACTGATACTGTTAATATTAACCTTAGATCTATGTTAAAATAAAACAAATTACCTAGAATGGTGGACAGGTCTTTTACGTTTTGATTTTTGTATCGTTGTGTTACTGTCTCATTGAAATCTACCCAATGTATCCTTTTATTTAAATCTGATTTCGCAGATAATATTCATTTGATTGGTACAATTTTCATATAGAGATATTATTACTCCTAGTTTTAAAAAAAAACCCTTCGATTTGTAAAACTATCAGAATGAATGTAAAACAAGTTTATTGAAATTATCAGACCATACCGTATCAACAAATTTACTTCCAAACGAGGAAGACCTCCTTGATCTATGTGTATTGTGATATACATGAATTATTGTTATTGTATTGGCATATGCATTCATTTGAAATACAATTAACTTGATTTTCAATATGATAACATTCATGATACTATCGACACAATGTAGTTGTTTTAAACGTAATTGAATATTTCGGAATCTCGTGTAGTATAGTCATCTGGTAAATCGACGTAAAAATATTTATATTAAAAAACTATTGAATTCACTGTATTTTTCGATCCATACCAGGAAAACTGTTTTAATTACGTCGGACAGGAAATACAATGATCAATGAAAAAAATATGTAAACATTAGATATTAAATCAAGAAAGTACATTTGTATTGAAAACATAAAGCTTTCAAAGTATGTGTAAACTAACCAAAAGAATAGGTTGACACGTCATAAATACAGCTTTGTAATACATTCATAGGCCACATCAATTTAATGTATATTTTATAAAAGAAAACGCAACATTTGAAAACATTCACCGTATTATACAAATGTATGATCAATAGAAACATCGTAAAAGATGGCCATATACATTTTTAGACTTAGCCATCAAAACAAAATAAATGGCACCTTTTTGAAGGCTGGTATTCTACCCGAATAAATGAACATGCACATGCACATTGAACATATTTACTTAATTGAAAACTGTGACGTAATTCTATGCACCCGGAAGAGGCCATACAGATATAAATCATCTATAATCCAATCAATCGGCACTAAGCTCAGCCTAGTATGTTATGATTTTATATGTTTGCTGGTGTTTGGTACTACATATATTAAATCGATTAACAAATAAACAACCACAGCAATAATGATTTTCTTATAATACATATAGCACTGATGGATGAACACCTTTTTTCCTGACTTCCCATTCATCTATAACAAACCCATTTACAATACATTCTTACTATTAAATATGTAATGGCTTGGTGACGACTACGTGATCAATTAGTCCAAGGAATGAACGGATAAAGGGTTCAGTACAATAATTGATTATTATCCCGTCCTGGTTCTGTAAATGTGTTATTTTAATTTAAACAAGTACATTCTATTCGGTTAGTTTTTAAGTTTTACTGTAAAACATTTCCTTCCGTACTTGTTTTACGTCATCTTAGAGTATAATATAGCAAGATAACGAATTAATTCTGTTTTTTCTAAGTTCAACAATAGATATGCAAGCACATTCGTAACATACACACAAAGCAAACATTTGTTTTGTAGGTAGGTTTAAATATAATGGTACAAATTTGAGTATTTGCGCATTGTATAAACAGACAAACACGATTATATGATACCGTGTCGGTAATAATATCTTACAATTATATAAAGGGAAATACTTAAAGAGTACATATGAATTGATAATCTATGTTACTAATCATTTAAGAAAATTACAAGTTAAAAATAGTGGAAAAAATAATGGACAACTATTAGTTATCAGTTGAGCGTTTCATTCAAAGTTTACAAAAATGTCCGAAAATTAATAACTTTTGACGCTTGTTGACATATGCATTGTTGAAATGTGTGAAAAGGAGAATATTTTGGAAGATTAATTACAAGTTAACACAGAAGTGTTCTGATCCCAATTTTCTGTCATAAGTAAGGAAGCGTCTTTCGTTGTGTATAAATCAAAAAGACAAAAAAGAAATGGAATGTTTACATGTATGGAGATAGAAGTTGATGTCTACGAGGATGGTTGTAATACAAGGAAAATATTGTAGGTAATTGAAAGTAAGTCGTACAATATGGCGGAAAAACTCATGAATTAAAACTATTCGGGAATTGTTTGTCATCTAATCATTGTTTTCAGACATCACATTTTGCACAGTAATAAGAAATGAAGCAACAAAACGTTTTCCTAATACAGTATTCGTGTACAAAAGAACAGTTTCAAGATTGAAATCTGTATGGCATTTGATGATAAAGCAACTCTGTTTTCATCTGACCACTCCTACAGTTTCGAAATAACAACTGTTCACTTCAACTTGTCAACTAATTATTCAAGTGACCTTTCCGATACCGATGTCAAAGCTATAAGAGAGGCAGCAAAATGGTTATGGATAATCATTTCACCGATTTTACTCGTGTTCGGTTTGATTGGAAATATAAGAATATTGTTAGTCCTGTGGAGAATACAAGTTTGCAAGAATTTAACCTATATATTTCTATTCATTTTAGCCACGATCAACACGGTTGTTCTCATCGTTGGTCTGACAAGGTATTGGATATTGGCAACTTTCGACTTCGATATTCGGGATATAAGTACGCCAGGATGTGTCTCACAACTATTTTTGATTTATTTTTCTATGCATATGTCTTCCTGGACTCTTGTATGCATAACAACGATCCGATTCCTCAAAATTAAGTTCTCTCTCCGTTCTTTTTCTAGAACATTGAAAATTTTGTACATTGTAACTTTTGCGATTTGTTTGGCACTGGATTTTCACTTTGTTTTTACTAATGGTCTTATTTTAATAGACAACAAATATGTATGCAACAATACATCTATCGAATATTTTGAATTTGAAGAAAAGGTTTTTGTGTTGATTGACTTAGCCGTGCTTTCTGTCATTCCATTCATCATAATGTTCGTTATGAACTTATTTATTGGAAAAAGAGTTTTGAAATCCATAGCTTTTCGTAGAAAATCAATTTCTAGCAACCAAAGCAGACAAAGTGTGAACCGTCAGAGTAAGAGAATAACGCGAATGTTATTTTTTACCAGCCTGTATTTTTTGATAACAACACTTCCAGTCTCAGTTTTATTTGTTGTTGACTCATATCTACCTGACAAGAAGTCTGTTAAAATGGAGGCAAATTTGGAACTTGCGAAAGCAGTTTTATATTTATTCCAGTTTTCGTTTTATGCTGTTAGCTTTTATATTTATATCGAGAGAAGGGAAAACTTCAGAAAGAGTTTGCCATGCTGCAAAGACAAAAAGGAGTAAGTTTCTTTAAAATGTAAAAATAACAAAAGTTGCAAGAAAAATGTACAGTGCATTTTCAAAACTTTATTCTACCATTTTCTTGAACCCCATAAGATCAATAAATGGAACTCGATGATTACTATGTGGTTAATTATTGGTCAATTAGAAGGTGGTTAGCATCCGGAATACACACAAAAGTACATAGAAGTCAAAACACGTTCTTCAACAATCGGCATACTTTTTATCAAGCACTAAAGTGCCTTGAGTCTTTACAAATAATGAACAAATTGAACACAGAAAATCAACGATCTACTATAAACAGCAATATTCCTTTAGTACAAAAAACATTGGCATTTAATTAAAAGGCAGCCACTGGTGACTCTCCCAATTTATAACCGTACTTAATAATGTAGCAGGGTTAAACTGGTTTGGGCACAACAAGCGAAACGTTTTCGTCTTATTTAAAACATCAATCTATAGTTATGTAAATTAAACTCGACTGAAAAAGGCTCTGATTTTAAAGCAACAGTACTATTATATCCTCTTTGAATACTTCTATCGCAAGCGAGAGACGAGAAGAACACTTTCTAAACATATTCGCTTATTGGATAATAGTAACCAGGATGCATGTGAAATCCATTCTTTAAAATAGATTTCTGCAAGTAAAATCCTACCACCACAATAAATTTTCACATTTGTTTTAAAACTTATATTTTTATTTCGTTGATTAACGATATCTATATCCCTGCCTTACTACTGATGATAATGCTACTTATTTTATTGAAATCTGAGATGTCTCAGCAAACATTCGCATATCGAACCAACTGAAACAAATCATTACATTAAAAAAGGGAAGAGAAAGAGTGACGAAAGATACCAAAGGGACATTCAAACTCATATGTCGAAAATAAACTAACAACGATATAGCTAAATAGATTTTTATCGGGAAGTTAACAATAGGAAAAAAAGTCAAACATTTTGATTGAATTGTCACACGATAAATTCTAATATAAAGATCTAATAAGGGATGAAGATCGCATTGGCTATAGAAAGAGTAAGCTCAAGTCGATCAATTTGATTGGTAAAGTCAGAAAAATCCGGATTATTCAGAAAGAATCTGCTGTTACTTATTGAATGATAGCAAGCAAGGAACAAATTATGTGTCGCATAAGACCCAACACAATCAAAATAAGATATGTTTTTTTCCATCCTGGCTGTCTAGTTAATATAAATTTTAAAAAATTGCATGATACACGTCAATAAGACAGCAACCCAACGGCAGCAATAACTAAAAGACAGCTAGAGGGATACAAACAGTCTTATACACGCATCATTTCGATATCTTCATCATATTAAGAAATGTTGATAAGTTTTCAAAACTGTAAGACTTACTTAAGATATTTTTTTTTTCATTTATGATACAATAACATATGTCAGAAAAATACGTTTGAAGTAATGACTAGATCACAAAAGAAAAGGTTACAATCCAGACAAATGAATGACCGACAGTTTCTGACGTTTCAATATCTTTCTGATTTTTTTCGTGTTGTTTGGATGTTTTCTCAATAACGTTTAAAATAACCCCAATTGTATTCAAATCGAAGAGCGTAAATGCATGTTATTGAACAAATGTAATTAAGAATGGAATAATACATGTTTAAAGACAGGATAAACATGAGATGAAATGCTTATAATAATTTATTGTAACATTAAACAGATCAATGCATGTATTTTATTTTTTTCAATGTGTTTTATTTTGATTTTATATTTTATTTCAGATCTGAAAATCCGGATTCTTTTTCACGAGGAGCCTCTTCTTTTTCAACAGCTAGTCGTTATTTGAGTTTCGATGAATCTACAAATGGCACGAACATTGATAGAAATTATACAACTGAAATGAACATTAATACTCATTCAAATACTTTTGTGCCTAATTATCAATTACCAGATATCCATCAATCCTCGTTATCTACAACTCGCCAATCCATTACGGAATTACCGAACAGGCTGTCTTAGGAACCGTCAAATTCAGTTCATACAATAAATTTTCTGATATAGATAATCATAGGAGGGGAGATAACATTCGAACAAATCGAATATCATTTGAGCTTTCTAGTATTTGCCAGACTATTCGGGAGTATCAGATCAAACTTGTATTTGACGACATTTATGAACACAGATTGAAGTGAACAAATCAGTTCCGTCATTTAAATTTAATGTCGTTGAAATGAATGAGAAGGATTATGGTATAAAATAAAGACTGTTTCCGTCTACTCTTATTCAAACTGTTTGTAGTATTATTTTTTTTTTCTGTTACTAGTCAGACAATAAAATAGTATTTGCTGTTTGCACAAAATGCAGCCTCGTTGTATTGTGTCTATATATTTCATGGGCATTGCAGTCATCTGTTGATTTACAGAATGTTTGACTCTATTCCGTTGAATATTAACAACGTATGAAAAATCAGGACTATCAGTTCAGGGCTAGCTGAATTAGCAGTTTTGTTGGCACTTGAACATTGTTTAAAGCAGTGAGGTAATCTCTGGTACCTTTCGTTGATAGATTTCTGTCTCATTTAGTAGGTAACCTCTTGACAATAATTTTAAGCTTCCTATCGTAAGGTATCAGTTAGGTAACCTCTGCATTTTGAATTTGGGCTATATATCGTTTGTGGGTTTCTTTCATGAGCAGTGAGGTAACCTCTGGGTAATACATTTTGGTAACTGAAAACAAACATTGAAAAGTTACAGAAACCGAAAAAGGATTATAATATAGAACAAAAGGACATTGGTAAACATAGCTAGAAATAAATGACATTTTTGTTTTCTTTTTTCAAATAAATGTCTTAAATGTAAATCGTTCAGTCTTGCAAAATATAAGATTTTCCTTTTATACTCAAATTCATTAACCATGCTATAGAAAGAAATCATAATTTCTTCAAACTATTATTTGTCATATCATTTACTTAATCATGTCTTCATTTTGTAATTCAATCAGCTATAATTATTGTGTTATATGTCATTTTTCAATAGGTTTACGAACTACATATCAACTTTTTCTTTTATTAAAAACTCAGACTCTTGCTCTTTGATGTCTGGCAAATAGTTAGGAGAAAATGCACTCTCTGAAGTAGAAATACAATTAGCGCTCTAGATGCAGATCACTTTAGCGGTTCTTCTGAGCAAACTGGGGAAAAATCCCTATTACTGCTCAGGATCTTCAATGTGCTTTTGGTTAAATATGGTATGTGTATTGAAATGGGTGAAATATAGGAATAGGATATTGAATTGCAAGAAGCCATAGTTATTCAAAGATTTCAAACACGAATTAAGATTTGCATTTTCGATCTCGCTTCTTTATTTCAATAACATGTAAATAAGAAGTCCATGAACATGTAGTTTCTAAACTTGTGCACAGTTACTCATGTGTAATCGTTGACACGATGTCAAAAAGATAATTGTGTTTTTTACTTCCCGACTGCAAAACATAATACAAATTTAGTGGATGTATTTTGTATACACGGTATTTATTAACATTACAATGAATAATTCAATGGTAAGTCTACTCATAGATATTATACATATAGTCTACTGGTGTCAGGTGCATACAGAATGGTCTATTTTCCAAATCAAAAGTCAGTGTTCAATCAATTTCTTTGGTTTATATAATCACTAGAAGTAAACATGTAATCTTTATTTTATTATCTGTTAAGGCAGCGTAATTTAAATTTATGTAAAAAAAGTGTGTAAAATAACGAAACATTTCAATAGAAACAAAGACAAACTATCAAATCTTTGCAATACTCATTCAATAAAATGTCTTTTAATACATTAAATATTGAGTATTTACTAGTTTTCAATGTCGTTGTTCTGTAGATTTTGTTTTGAATGAAATTTGGATGTGATAAAAGATAAATAACTCTATTAAATTATGATCATTGTATTACAATTTGATTAATTTTCAGATCTATGAGCATGATTTTAATAAATTACATGATCTTGTCAGAGGTAGAATACCAGTATTTTAAATTCAAATGATAACTATTTAATATACCTCTCAATACTAAACCGAGATAATATCATCATTAGGTCTTTCCACTTTTCGTGGAAAGACCTTTTGCTTTTGTTCTGATTATTTTTTTTTTCTTCTGCCGTCTGAGATGCTTTTTTGTTTTACAACATATCGAAAGGATTTTTGGCCAATGATGTCGTACAGTAATAGAGATTTCAAAACTCACCCTGTGTAACCAAACACTTATTCTTGTAGGAGTTATCTCCCCACGTCCCCTTTTTCTTGTTATCTTTATTTCTCTGAATCCGTAAAAGATTTCAACAAACTGTTTGCACCAAATTATTTGTCTACTCTCGAGAATGTTTTGGTTAAGTTTAATTGATGTGATCGGATGACATCTTATGGGAGTTATTTCCCTTTGAAAATTTAACATAGGTGATATGTTGAATAAATTCATACATGATAAGTCATAGAGGCCTAAAGTCTTTTGATATAAAGTCCTTGGTCCATTTGGAGGAAATTGAGGTCAAGGTCAAAGGTCAAAGTCATGTTCTAAATTTCAAATTTTGCTTGTTATCTTTATTCAAAAGAAACCATAACAGTTAATGATATAATGTGTTTGCCACATAATTGTTTACGATAAGGTGCAACTTCAACCCATTTAAGTCGAAGTGTTTTGGTCAACCCTTATAGGAGTTTTTCCCCCTTATGTATTTGAAATCAGTATTACTCCGCAACCATACAAGTGAATGACCTGGGTTCTTTTGATTTGAGATCACTGAACTATGACCTTGGAATTGAGGTCAAGGTCAAAGATCAATTTGACGTTCTAGATTTTGACCTTTGCTAAAAGATCTTACTGGTTCATTATAAAACAATTAAGTTTTCGGCATTTGGTTGTAGACATTTCACCATTTATCAGGTCAACCGGAAATGACAGTATTTTAACCGGAAGTAGCCTATTTCAGACTAATCCTATGTAAAAGTACCTAGAATTCTTATTTTTTAATATCAGTTTGAAGTAACAAATTACATGAACCAAGAGTGCATTTTCCAACACCTTTTTTTAAATTTCATTCTTTATTATCGAGGTGGAAAGACCTTAAATTGTTCTCTGAACAATTAGTTTTTAATTCTTATTGCTACTCTGTATTTCTAATAACTTTGTACAAATATTTTTTTTAATATATTTCAAATATACTTTTACTGCGTTTTATAGTAGGTAGGATGTAGTACATGTATTGTTGGAAATATAACACCCCATTCCTATAAAAAAAAAACTTATTTATCATTTGGAAAGCGTTCTTATCCTTTTAATACAATTCAAGGAGTTTGGGACTGTAACTGTGGTTGTTGTGAAAATGGAAATCGGCTTGCAGCTTATGTAGATAGCAATACGAAACGAAACACCAGTTGTACCTTCATCTGGGTAAATAGCAGAAAAAATGCTTGAATTTGCATTTTTAGTGAATTGTTTTTGGCTTAGAAAACGTACAATGACAAACGGACGGACAACATGACTCCTGTATCATCCTGCATGATATGCATATAAAAAGAGGGGAAAGGCAATAAAAAAAACATCAGTCGAAGAAAATCATATATTTTTCTAAAATTGCCTTTAATTATATTTTCTTGATATATTTAATGCTTACATATTTTTCTATTGACCATTGTTTTTCCTATTCGTCGTAATTAAAAACGGGTTTTCTCCTATGGATCGAATTCAATAGTTTTTTATATATAAATATTTTTACGTCGATACAACTAATTATATAACACGAGATTCCGTAATATTTAATTACATTTAAAACATCCACACTGTGTCGATAATATCTTGAATGTAAGCTTATTGAAAATCAGGTTAACTGTATTTCAAATGAATGCATGTGCCAATACAATAACAATAATTCATGTATATCACAATACACGTAAATCAAGAAGGTCTTCCTCGTTTGGAAGTGCGTTTTTTGATACTGTATGCTCTGACAATTTCAATAAATTTGTATTACATTGTTAGTTTTATAAAGGATTGAAAACCAGGAGTAATATTCAATACTTGAAATTTGTACCAAATAAATGAATGGTATCTGTGAAATCAGATTTGAATAAAAAGAAAATATTGATAGTTACAGACGAGAGCAACATGTATTCCAAGTTGTAGAGAAGTTGTGGTTCCATTATAGAGTACTCTAAATTTTGCGTAGACGTTACACATACATTATCATATTAATTATATTATAGTACTAGTTGAGGCAGTAATGTGGCTGAAATATCAGCCTACAACTGTACATTTGTTTTATCAACCGTTAGAGACATCTTGTCACAACCCTATAATTCTTTTTTTTTTACATGCACTGATATTATATAATGTAAACATTATTTGTTTTAAGTCATTTTAGGGTATGATATAGCAACTTCTTCCCCTCACCCAATTTTAACAATAGATATGCATGCACATTTATAACATACACGCATTGCAAACATTTGTATTATATATAGGTAGGTTTAAATATAATGGTACAAATTTGAGTATTTGCGCATTGTATAAACAGACAAGCTTGATTATATGATACCGTGTCGGTAATAATATCTTACAATTGAATAAAAAGAAATATTTAAAGAGTACACATGAATGGATAAACTATGTTACTAATCGTCTCGAAAATTACAAGTTAAAAATGGTGGAAAAAAATAATGGACAACTATTAGTTATCAGTTGAGCATTTCATTCAAAGTTTACTAAATTGTCCGAAGATTAACAACTTTTGACACTTGTTGACATATTCATTGTTGAAATGTGTGAAAAGGAGTATATTTTGGAAGATTAATAGCAAGTTAACACAGAAGTTTACTTATCCCAGTTTTCTGTAATACGTAAGTAAGTCATGTGAAGAATCATGTTTCTTTGTTGATGAGTTTTACAGATAAACAATGAAACGTCTTCATGTATGGATATAGAAGTTGATATTTACAAGGATAATTTTAATTCAACAAGGAAAATATTCTAGGTAAATGAAAACAAAATCGTACAACATGGCGGAAAAATTCATGATATAAATATATTCAGGAATAATTTTTTCATCAAATCATGATTTTCAGACATCAAGTTTTGCACAGTTATATGAAAAGAAGCAACAAAATGTTTCAATAATACAGTAACAATGTACAAAAGAACACTTTCATGATTGAAATCTGTATGGCATTTGATGATAATGTAATCCTGTTTTCATTCAACCACTCCTTCAGCTATGACATAACAACAAGTCAATACAACTTGTCAACTAGTCCAAGTGATCTTTCCGATACCGATGGCAAAGCTATAAAAGAGGCAGCAAAATGGTTATGGATAATCGTTTCTCCGATTTTACTCTTGTTCGGTTTGATTGGAAATATAGGAATATTGTTAGTCCTGTGGAGAATGAAAGTTTGCAAGAATTTGACTTATATATTTCTATTCATTTTAGCCACGATCAACACAGCTGTTCTCATCGTTGGTCTGACAAGGTATTGGATATTGGCAACTTTCAACCTTGACATTCGGGATATAAGTACGCCAGGATGTGTGTCACAACTATTCTTAATTTATTTTTCTATGCATATGTCTTCCTGGACTCTTGTATGTATAACAACAATACGATTTCTCAAAACAAAATTCCCTTTCCGTTACCGAGCTAAATATTTTTCAAGAGCCTTGAAAGCTTCGTACATTTTAACATTTGTGATATGTTTGGCACTGGATCTACACTTTTTTTTTACTAATGGTCTAATTATGATAGACAACGAATATGTATGCATCAATACGTCTATTGAATATTTTACATTTGAGGAAAAAGTGTTTGTTTTGATTGACTTAGCCATGCTTTCTGTCATTCCATTCGTTATAATGTTCGTTATGAACTTATTTATTGGAAAAAGAGTTTTTAAATCGATGGCTTTTCGTAGATTATCAATTTTCAATAACCAAAGCAGACGTCGTTTGAACCGTAAGAGCAAAAGAATAACTCAAATGTTATTTTTTACCAGTCTGTATTTTTTAATTACAACATTACCAGTCTCAGTTTTATTCGTTGTAGACTCATATCTACCTGATAAGAAGTCTGTAAAAATGGAGGCAAATTTAGAACTTGCGAAAGCAGTTCTATATTTATTCCAGTTTTCGTTTTATGCTGTTAACTTTTACATTTATATTGAGATCAGTGATGACTTCAGAAAGAATTTACCATGCTGCAATGCCAAAAATGAGTAAGTTTCTTTAAAAAAAAGTAGTGATACCAAAAGTTGCACAAAATAGATGTACTTTTAAGACAATGCACTTATTTTGAAAACTTTATTATTTTCTTGAACCCCATGAAATAAATAAATGGAACTCAATATGTGACTGTGGGTCAATTAGACGGCGTCTAGCATTCGGAATACGAGCAATATTACCTAAAAGTCAAAACATGTTCTTCTACAATCGGCAGAATTTATCAAGCACTAAATTGCCTTGAGTCTATGCAAATAATGAACAAGTTAAACATAGACAATCAACAATCTACTATGAACACCAATATTCTTTTAAGTACAATTATAATTTGAGGAAAGATAGCCGCCGATGGATCTCCCGACTTGTATCTGGCAACTGAGCATGTACCAGGGTTAAACTAGTTTGAGCACAAAATAGAAGGGAAGTTTCGTCTTATTTCAAACATCAATCTACACATTAGTAAATTTAAATCGATTGAAAAAAGCTATGATTTAATAGCAACAGTATTAAATACTTTTTTCAATAATTCTATTAATGCAAGAGAAAGACGTGAAGGACACTTTCTAAACGTATTTGCTTTTTAAATAATAGTAGCCATAAAAGGATACACGTGAAGTGAATTGTTGAAATTTGACGTCTGCGATACAATCATGTTTCCAAAAGAAATTTCTACGTTTGTTATAAATTGCACTCTTTATGATATCTATATCCCTGTCGTAAAAGTAATATAAATACTTTTTTTTAATTGAAATCTGAGGTATGAATGTTTTGTCTTGTTTGCAAAGTGATTTTAACTTTACATTTATATTTCAGATCTAATGAACGGAACTCTGTTTCACAAGGAGTCTCTTCTTTTTCAACAGCTAGTCGCTATTTGAGTTACGATGAATCTAGAAATGACACGAACACTGCTACAAATTATGGAACTGAAAGGGACATTAATTCAAATTCAAATACTTCTGTGCCTAATTATCAGTTTTCAGAACTTTCCGCCACGTGCCAAGCACTCCCGGATCTCCCAAGTCGACAATCCCTATTATCTGCAACGTGCCAATCTATCACTGAATTACCGAACAGGAGTATTTTGGAACAGTCAAACGCGGTTCATACAATAGATCAATCGGACATGGAGAATCCTGTGAGAGGAAATAACATTCAAGCAAATGTAATGTCCTTTGAACTTTCTAGTATTTGCCAAACTATTCGAGAATAAGTGAAACGGAATCATCAGACAAAACTTATAATTTAAAAAAATTGAATGTACTCTTTATGAGATTGGGGAAAAAACAAATGTTCCGCTGATTTGCACTTTAATGTCGATGACATAAAAAAAAGATTATAGACGTGTTATATAAACTATTTTTTTCTACTTTTATACAGAGCGTTTGTTATATTTAATGTTTTTTCTGTATTTATTTTTCTGTAATGTTTACAAGTATTTTCTTCTGTTACTAGTCATAAAAGATGATTGATTCTATGCACAAAATATGCAGCCTCGTTGTTTTCATTCCTATTCATATCATGGACATAGCCAATACAGTCATTTGTACATTTCCAATATCTGTGGCTAAATTCCGTTGGATTTATACAACTTATGAAGAATCAGGAACATCAATTCAGAACTAGCTTTGTTGGCACTTTAACATTGTTGAAAGAAGTGACACAGAGGTAATCTCTGGATAATAATTTCATGCTAGTTATATCGTTTATGGATGTATTTCTCATTAAGCAGTGCGGTAATCTCTATATATTTAATTTGGGCTACCTATCGTTGGTGGGTTTCTGCATCATTAAGCAGTAAAGTAACCTCTGGATATTAATTTTGAGTAATTACCTATCGCTGATGGGTTTCTGTATCATTTAGCGATGGGTTACTTCTGGATATTAATTTTGAGTTACTTACTTCTTTTTATTTATTTATATCTTATTGCAAAATCGTACGAGAATTTTTCCCTGTACATTTAAGAAAAAAGTATAACAAAAATACCGTACTCCAAGGTAATTTAAAAAAAGGGGAAAGCCCATAAAAACTGACAAAATTAAACGTTACACTTTATCAACCAACGGAACGAATGGAAAACACTTGTCATATTCCTGACTTGTTACAGGCATTTCCAGATTGGTACGTGAATGAACAATGTGATTGGAATAAAGTTAAGTTCGAACATGTTCTCGGTTTTCTTCATCATTACTGTTGGTGTGGATAAACAGTTTACTGCATTCCTAACATTAAATTGGGTTATGAAACAATTGAATTATGAACAATAATGCCTGTTGATTGTTGTTTCAGTTGAAAAGTATACATGGTATATATATGTACAGTTCGAAACTAAAAATAAAGTTTAACATTGAAAACGGATATTATATATAAAGCAAAAAAGACATCAGAAAAACAGAGCTATATATAAAAGATATTCTTGTTTTCTTTTTTCAAATACATTACTCCACTGTAAATCGTTTAGTCTTGCAAATAAAAAAAATCTTCTTTTAATCCTCACATTCTTTAGTCAACACTTGGAAGTAATCGCATTTTTCAAACTATCATTTGTCGTACAAATGTATCATTTACTAAATAAATTTTACATTTCGTAATTCAATCAGTTATTGTATTAAAGGTCATTTTTCAATATGTTTACGCACTATATAACAACACTATCTTTTATTCAGACTCAGACTTTTGCTCTTTGTTGTCTGGCTAATTGTTAGGAGAAAATACACGCTCAAAGTAGAAATACTATAAGCCCTCTAGGTACAGACCACCTCATAGCGTTCGTTCTTAGAATATTGCGAAAAAAAATCCCTATAAATGCTCAAATTTCCGGATCTTTAACTTAAAGGTGTTTCTGGTTAAATATAGTATGTGCATTGAATTGGGTGAAATATAGGAAAAAATATTGCATTCCAAGAATCATTGTTATTGAGATTTCGAACCCGGATTAATAATTGACGTGTCGCTCTCGCTTTTCTATTGCAATAATATTCAAATAAGTCCATGAACATGTAGTTACTAAACATGTGCACAGTTTCTCATGTGCAAATGTTGACATAAAGTCAAAAAAGTAATTGGTTTTTTACATGTTCGTCACGACTGCAAAACATAATAACAAGTTAGTGAATGTATTTTTTTCATACACGATATACATTACCATTACAATATAATGTTTAATATGTAGAATGAAGTGGGTCAATTTAAGACCATACCAAAGTAAAGCTAAACATGTAGTGCGTACCGGCTTACATTTATCTTTACAAATACTTAGTAATCAATGGGAAAAGAAATGTACAATTGTTCACAAGTTGAAAAGACAGATAACATGCAAACATGCTCAAATTATATTCTTTAAATACGAAAACAAATTAGATAATTTGTTCTATAGTGTCTGTTTGTCCGTCCGTTCGATTCGTACCCCTGTCCCACTTTTGTATCCGCAGCTGCTCCTGAACTGCCTGGCAGAATTTTGTGAGACTTTTACAAAATTTTACTCACATGGTGAACTTATGCAACTCTCTTTTCATTTCTTCGTCTGACTGATTAGATGTGTTGGAATTACTTTGGGATGACACGGTCTTCGTCATATCTGAACACTATATATAAAAAAAGAAGAGGTGGTACGACTGCAAATGAGACAACTCTCCACAAGAGACCAAATGACACAGAATTTAACAACTATAGGTCACCGTACGGCCTTCAAAAATTAAGCAAAGCCCACACCGCATAGTCAGCTATAAAAGGCCCCGAAATGACAAATGTAAAACAATTCAAACGAGAAAACTAACGACTTTATTTATGTACAAAAAAATGAACAAAAAACTAATATGTTACACAGCAACAAACGACAACCACTGAATTACAGGCTCCTGTCTTGGGACAGGCACATACAGAATGTGACGGGGTTAAACTCGTTTGAAGACGCCAACACTCCCCCTTACCTGGGACAGTAGTGTAACAGTACAACATAAGAACAAACTATAAAAATCATTTGAAAAAGGCTTAACTCATCAGATGGATACAAATAGAAATATATCTAACAAAAACACAGAGTGGGCGTGGACTGGAACTTATACATACCCACAACAAAATGACACTAAGTACAGATCTGGGAGTACTCACAGTTACTGACAGCTAGTTCAAAGCCAATAACAACTAATAAAAAAAATCATGCATCTAAGACTAAAATAGTACATATAAGCACAATTTAGTTAAACTTAATTACAAACTTAACCATATTAAGCCACTGCATGTGTTTTTGGTCCAAATTATTTTTTTGTTTCCCTTAGCAAATCATGGAACTTTGCCGGAGCCGGGTACCATATTTTTTTCGCTTTGCTCGCAATATTACAAATACATTTTTTTTTACTTGTATTCAAATGAAGACTTAGTGAAGTATTTTATGGGCGTATTACAATCTGACAGTATGAATACAGCAGAAATGTGAAGAATTACCAGGACTGAATGGCTTATAAAACGGCAATGAAAATCATTTTAACATTCTTATGGAACAATTTAGTGAGTAAAGTCATTTGTACGTCTACTGGTGTATTTTACATACAGAATGTTCTATTTCCCAAAATAAATTAAAAAAAAAAATCAGTGTGTAGTAAATTTAATCACTAAGGATAAACATTGCTTTACTTTGCACATACTATGTAATATTGATTTTGTTATCTATTAAGACAACGTAATTTTAAGTTATGTAAAAAGTCTGTAAAATAATGATACATTTCATAGAAACGAAGACAAACTATATCAGATCTTTGCAATACCAAGTCAAGAAAAGATCTTTTAGTTACATTAAATATTGCATATCGACTAGTTTTCAATGTTGTTTTTCCTAGATTTTGTTTTGAAGTTAAATTTGATGCAAATAGCCTCCTTGGTGCTATTTTGCCGGCTTAGGCAAAATAGCGATATATATACAGTTTTGCTATTTTGCCGGTCTTATTTCAGATTTATTTAGATTAAATGAAATAATTTTTCTATTGAAATCAGCGACGTTCGACTCCTATGAAGAGCTAACGCAGGTTTTGGAGTAATTTGAAAAGGACTATTATCCGGTGCAACTGTGGAACTATAACATTTATGAAAACTATAGAGCACCAAACAAAACCTTTAATAACGATATAGTTTATGGTGCAATAAAGTACTGCTGTGTTCATGGCAAACTGACCACAAATCTTCATGCACTGGTTAGTCAACACAACACGTACAAGTTTCTTCGTTTTTATCTTGCAACTATATACATTTACCAATGGCGGCCCGTATTTGAGATATCATAGCACAGAAACTAACATTGTCAAAACTTGCAAAATTGTCCGTCATTCAACATCACAGAATAAAGGTTCCCCCATAATATTTGTTCCAAAGAACTTTTATCATATAACAAAAGTTCCATTTGGGAACTTTCCTTATGTAATATTTTATCCAATGATATCAGAAAATTTCCATCACAAAGGATAAAATATTACATAATGAAAGTTCCCAATGGAACTTTTGTTATATGCTAAAAGTTCTTTGGAATAAATAGTATGGACAATGTTGTGACATTTTGCACCAGTATGAAACTTCGAATTGGAACTTTTATTTTAAGTTCCCTATAACAAATATACTGATTTCTATCATGGTAGCAAATAAGAAACAACAAATGAGGCAAGAGCATTTTAAACATATACATTGTACATGTATATACAAAATACTGTTTAGAACAAAATCTTGAGAATGCATTGACTGTTCATTTACAGCTTTTTATTAGAGGAAAATATTCACCCATACTGTTAGGGCGCTCTTTCTTTTGGTCGTCCATTACTTGCTCTTGTGGAAAATTTTTTATATTATAAAAGTTCCAGGAATATTTGTACAGGTAAATGCCATACACAGGTGAGGTGAGCAGTAATTAAGATGCAATCAGGTGTAAAAAAAAATACATTACACTCTTTCTTTAAAGGAACAAGTATTATGAAACCATATGTTTTAGTTCCAGGAAAAATCTTATAAAGGTGGAAATAATATTATGTAATGTTTGTTCCTAAGAACAATTATTTCCCATATTTTTGTTCCGGGAGGAACAAATGTTATGCGGAACAAATATATGTTCACAGTTCATGTCTGAAGTGGCAGCATCTTTCTTGTGCAAGACTTAAAAATGCACCAAAGCAAAGCAATGGTTTTGTATTACTTGTAAAGCATTTTGAAATTGTTAAATTTTACTTTTAATTACAAAACTTATGGGATATTTTTATCATCATTTTAATTAGAATATCAAATTTAATATGCATTGTTTGAATATTTATTATATTTTTTTGTATGTAAAGTTACTTTTAATTTCAAAACTTATGGGATGTTTTTGATTACAATATCAATTTTAATATGTATACTTTGCTTATGTATTAATGTCAAAAAGAAGACTTATCTTTTTAGTGATTTCTTACTAACATGTCAAGTGTATGTTTCTACATTTCTTTCTATTCGTACATGTCGTAATTGATATACT